GGATGTTCTCTAGGGGGCAGTATTTAGTCATGTGTAATGAAAATTATATTTAAAAAAATAACCTCAAAAACGCCGCAGCATCTTTCTGTTCCGCGATGATGTCAGAACACAACAATGGAGGAAAAAAAAAACATCGGTTCCTCATGTGACAGCGCTCCATAAAGTTCAAGGGTTCTTGGTAATTGGAGAACTCTTGTAGAATAAACTGAGTTCGTACCTCCTGCTGCTTCAACTCTCTCTTTCTCAGTCTTACTCACACACAGAGAGAGAGAGAGAGAGAGAGACAGTGTAGGTGAGTCAGAAAGCTGTTTTGTTTTGTTTTGTTTTGTTTCGTTTTGGAGAGCTGTTAATCTCAGCTCTAACCTGAAATGAGTTTTTTGGGGGTTGGGGGGCGGGGTTGTCGCATTTTATCACACAACATCAACTGCAGCAGGCCCCGGGGCAGAAGACTGGTTACAGGGGTATTTACATTACACCATTGAGCAAGACAGAACGGGTGAGGGATGGCAAGGGGAGAGAGAGAGAGCAGTGAGAGAGAGAGGGGGGGGAGAGAGAGAGAAGATGGTTTCCAGATGTGAGGAGGAATTCGGAGCGGCGGAGCAACTCCCCTCTTCCTCCTCCGTTCTCCTCTCCTGTTCACTGACACAGAGATGTGGATCGGCCCATGCATGTTGTAATGGAGAGAGAAACCGCAGAACAGAGGAGAAGGAGAAGGCGTTTCTGTGCAGGGGTGAGTGAGAGGAACCCCAGAGCAGCCGGGGAACAGCAGTGGAGATGAGGAAGGAGAGGGGTCGAAAATAAGAAAGAGGAGGAGAGAGAGAGAGGAGGAAGAGTGGGGCCTCCTGCTCGACCACAACCCCAGAAATGTAGGCTGCTCCAGTTTAAAGAAAGGAAAATAATCCACAGAAGTTTCACACTCTTCACCAGTCTGAGGTCCTGGTTCTGTTCTGGTCTGATCTGTGTTCAGTTAGTTTATGTCAAGATGTAGCCATTTAAAACAAAACAACATTTCAGGGCTGTCCTTGAACACAACATGGCAGGATTTTTATTGAATTTGAAAATTTGACTCGACCTGATTCAAATATGAATAGATGCTCTCTCTCCCCCGTCTCTCTCTCTCTCTCTCTGTCTCCCTCCCTGTGTGTGTTTCTCCTTCCTCTCTCTCTCCCTGAGTCCACACTCGTTTCAGGAAATACCACCAACCTCCTTTTTTTCCTTTTTTTTTTCTAAGGGGGAAAACTGACCAACATTCCTTCAGGCTGAATAAACAGATATGTGTGTAATTGACACACACACACACCTACAGTAAATACCAGGATTCTCACATTTGTCTCAGAATATTAAAGTAACATTAACGTGGATCCACCGTGACATGTCGACAAGAACAGACCAGACCTCAGATAGCTGTTTTTGTCACTTTATTATTTTTTTTTTACTTCTGGCAAATTTTTTAAAATCCCTGCAGAGGCAGAGAGGTGGCAGTAGGAGACAAACACACAGTGTGTTTATAATGAAGTGAGATGTGATCAATCTTCCAATCAGTCATCGTTCCTCTCCCCTCAGCTCAGAGATGGAGAGACCATGTGCTGCGTGCAGGGTCATGTGACTGACTTGAATGAGTGACTTTGTTCTGGAACACAGAGCCAGGATGGGAAACCCCTGGTTCTTGGCCTTATTCTGAAGAAAGTCTGAGAATAGGTGGAAACAGTTCCAGTTCTCTGTAACTTTGCTGCAGCTTTAAATGATTCTATTTATTAGTGATTTTAGAGAGAACTCTACTGGTGTTTTTTTTTTGGAGATATGTTGAGTTTCAGGACTCAGGAGTTAGGATTAGATTTAGGGCTGGAATAAAGTTGGGCTCAGGTTTTAAGATTTGTCATCAATTTGTCATAGTTGATATTATGAAATAGGAAATGCGGTGGATGATGTCTCTGTAGGACAGAACCTTAACCTGTCGTCCAGGTAAAGCTGTCCTCGTGGGGACCTCACCTGGAGAGAGGGCAATTTGAGGTTTAAGATTTAGTTTGGAGTTTAGATAAGAATTAGGGCTGGGTTAAGGTAAGGATTAAGATTAAGCATACGTTTGTATTTGGTTTAGGGATTAGGAATGGATTATTTCTAGTCCTCACAACCCTTGAAAACCAATCTGTGTGTGTGTGTGTGTGCAGAGGTTTCTCAATCTTGGGCGGCAAACTAACACAGTTAATGATGGTGTGTTAAAAATGTATTTCTACTGATACAAACTGAATGTTTACACACACACACACAGAGACACACACACTAGATTTCACCATGTTAGAAGAGCAACATGAATCAACCGTCTCTCCGTCTGGACTTGTAGGAATTAAGAAATTCATTCCATAGCCACCACTCCTCAGTCCACGGCTCGATGATTAATCTGATACGGACGGTTTTGCATCACACTGATTGGCTGATTTTCAGGAAGCCGCCTCAGTGTGACGTGACACTGCGCGTCTTGTGAGAAGTTTAATGTTTGGGTCTTGTTTTACGGCCACACACACACATGGCTGAATCACCGAGCTGTGGCTAGAGAAGCTGCCGGGCCTATTGTGATTCA